TTTTTGAAGAAAATACAGACTAAAAGGCTATTTCTCTTGAAAAATACGTATTCAAGAAGAATTTTGAATGATCTGGAAAATGCTTTACTAATAAAAAAATCAAATGCCTGTCATAAAATAAATCTTGAATTATCTACTGGGAAAGCATATAGAGTTATTCTGTTTAAATCCTAAAGAATGAGACAATTTGATGTAGCAGAGAAGGTCAGAGGGCATACTCAGATTTACCATGTTGGTTGTCATCAATGTATCTTTGTGGACAAGCGTATATTGCTACAGAAAAGTAGAACTTTAGAACTGGCAGGTACTTTAGAGATCATCTTGTAGTGTAGTTCTTATGAGGGGTGCACTTTACAATTCTGAGGAGCCTTTCCAACATCCACCTGTGTGAACGTGATCTGTAAAAATTCTTCCGTCAGTCTGGGCCCTGGGTGGGGTTTAGGCATGCGTGTTTTGGAAAAAAGTTTTCTCAGTTGATTCTGATAGTGACACCTGATTAAGAGTGACTTATTTAAGTCACACCTTATTTAATTAGACCACCTCATTTAGATTCAGAGAAGTTGGGATGTGATAGATGTTCAGTAAATGGTCGTTGCTTTGTTGTAATTCTGTAATGTGGGCAGCAGTGGAGAACCCCTGTGGACTTTTGATCCAGGATGGCTCAAGACTGTACAAAGTGGGAGAGACTGGAGCTGGCAGAGAAAGGACACGGGAAGGAGCGCTGGGGATTCCAGATTTGTGGGACACAACAGTTGATGGGATGTGAAGCCATGGAAATAGGAGAAGTGAAAGATAAGTTTGAGATTTTGACCTGGTAACTGGGGAGAAGTGTGAAAGAGGTTCTAGGTTTAGGGGTGATTTGAGTTCAGTTCTGGAATTACCGGATTTTAAACTTTGTGGTACAGGTGGATAAAAACCAGTTGCCATTGAGCTGACTGACTCATGACCACCCCATGTATGTCAGTAGAATTGTACTCCACAGGGTTTCCAGTGACTGATTTTTCAGAAGGAGATCACCAGGCCTTTCTTCTGAGGAGCCTCTGGGTGGACTTGAGCTGCCAACCTTTTGGTTAGTAGCTGAACAGGTTAACTGTTTGCACCATTGAGGGACCTAGAGCTTTCTACTAATGAGACTTCAAGGTTTATGAATGAGAGGAAATATGAAGGCAGACATAAAAGTTGGAGGCACCCGTATGCCTAGAGGAAGAGAACTGGAAGAGACCAAGGAAGGATCTGGCAGTAGCACAGTGTGGAAGCCAGGGTTGCTTGGTGTCAGTCACTGCAGAGAGCCAGAGCTGGAGAAGCGGCAAGAGGCCTCAGGGTTGGCCATTCAGGACTTCATGTTTCTTTAGGAGGGTTTCCGTAATTGTAATAAGAATAATAAATGAACACTTGATGAACCCTTAATATATACCAGGCACTTTCCAAAGATCTCATATACATATATGTACACCTATTTTTTTCCCTTTTTATCCCAATAACAACCCCATGAGGCTAAATAAATTGCCCAAGGTTGATGACAGTGCTGGTGGAGTTTGGGTTCAGCTTAGGCAGCCTGGCTCCAGGGCATACACCCTTGACTACAGCAGTATGGGCAGAAGCCATGCTTCCAAGTGTTAGAGGAAGAGAGCGTGAGCGAGTGAGGCTCTGGATGCCAGGAATAGGGCTTAGGCCACCCTTCTCAAAACCCTATAGGTGGAAGGAATTGGAAGTTTGGGTAGATTGAAAAGGTGTTAGGTTTCAGGGAGCTCAACCTCTTTGCATAGAAGGAGCCAGTAGAGTGAGGGTGCATGGAGTGGGGACAAAGAAGGTGCACCTGTGTTAACAAGGTCCCATGGTGGACTGAGGCCCAGAGCAGGAGGTGACATCAGGGCAGCCAAGGGAGCTCATGCCAGCTCACCTGACCTCTGTAAAGGTGGGCAGGTAGGCCATCTGCAGGGGTTTGGGCCTTTGGGTAATCGTGATATCAGCTTAGGGTAGAATGGAGGTAAGGGAGTGACATTTGTCACTAGAAAGTCTTGTATATGCACCACACAGTGCTCAACACAGTGTGTCACAGACAGAACAGACGTGGAAACTGTTGTTAACAGAGCTAGCTGTACGAATAGCTTACTACAGTGGTAGCTCTGTCAGACAGTGATGAACACTGTGGTGCATGTAGTACACTATTCAGTACAGATGTGGGACACGGTGTTTAACAGTTGTGATAAAGAGATACGTGGAAATTTACTGGTAGTTTTAATTTAAAATGGCCCTGCCCCGAATTCCTCTGATTTGGTTTCTAAGCTCTAAAATAAGTCTTAGAGAATTAAAAATAAAAAACAAAACAATATTCCTACATCCAAAACATCATCTAAATATTGCTGGAGTTAAGATTCTAACCAAATTTGTTTAATTGTTTTTGCCTTTTCTGGCCTCTCACTCATGGAAGCTTTACTCTTTAGATATGGAGGAGAGGGGCTCATGCTGCCAGCCAGGTACTTGAACCAAGAGAGAACGCTCCTAAAATTGTCTCCTACAGTCTCTTTGGGGGTCAACCACAGGATGAGATTCTGCCACAGCATTTTGGACAGGTCTCATGAACCTCTGTTTCATGATCAAATTTCAGATTTAAAATTTACGAAGTGAGTTTATAGCCGAATCCATGTGTGGCGTAGTCACGTTAAACCAGCACTGGCCACTAAGCACTGAGTATAGATGGGGACGCGATGGGCTCTACCTGGGGTTCAGGCAGCTCTCTCCTCTGTACTTATTTTCCCTCCCTGTCCCAATCACATACAATGTCCTTACGCCATCCGGGGTGAATACACATACACCTATGTCTTCTGCTACAAGAGTAAGTAAAGGGTAGGTTTGTAGGCTACTAGGAGGATTTGGAATGGTATCTGTAGTTCAGAGCTCACACCCCAGTTGACCTATTTTCCAGAATTGCTCTTAATTTGGAAGCTTTTTTGCTCAGTTCTCCCTGATCACTAAAGTTGGATGATGTTTTTAGAAATGAAAGAGAACTGGTTAATAAATGTCTGTTCGAACAGTTTAACTTTTTACATACTCACTCAACTGTAGAGCTTTAAAAGTTGTGATCTTAACTTTAATATAGTTGTAGTCCATAAAGGCTTAAGTGACACAGGGTCCTGGATACTGACTTCTTTAATGTATGTACTTGTTTTTAAAGGTGGTACTTTGTTAATGGATTAGAGCTAATTAAAAAACCCGTTGCTGTCCAGTCGATTCTGACTCATAGAGACTCTATAGGACAGAGTAGAACTGCCCTATAGGGCTTCCAATGATGTAAATCTTTATGGAAGCAGACTGCCACGTCTTTCTCCCACAGGGCGGCTGGCGGGTTTGAACCACCGACCTTTCAGTTAGCAGCTGAGTGCCCTAACCGCTGTACCACCAGGGCTCCCTTAGAGCTAATTAGGGCATGAAAGTATGCCTGGAAAAAAGGGCAAAAGTTGTAATCTGGTAAGCGGTGATTTTGGATTATTTTCCCTGAATTTTGTACGCACTGATGTGCTTGTAGGGGCTGTGAGTTTGCCCCCGCCTCATTTTACCATTGCTGCCTCCAGGCACTCTTGACTCCTTTCCTTGTAGGTAGTGTGTGGTCAGGGCTGTGGCATCATGGTCTCAGGCCATCACGTGTGCATTCACACACACATACACACACGCTGCCACAAAACCTGCTACGGCCCGTATATACACCTGTGCAAGCGTTCGGATGACTGTGTTTAAAGGGGTCAATTTTTCCCATATAGCTGCCAGAAATTGTTGAAAAATCTTAAGTCACTGACTGGATAAAGTCTCTAAAGGTGGTTCCACAATTATGGAAAGTCTGTAAAGCAGAGCCTCTCTCCTGGATGAGGCAGTTGCATCACAGCTGTAGAATACAGTGGCTGGGTAATCTCAGATGTTTTGTTTTTTAAGCAAATGAAAGGCAGTAACACCTCCCCCCTCCCCCTTTTTAATTTATAATGTTTTTTTCTGTCTTGATTTTTAGTAGGCCGATGTATTAAATAAAATTATATCTTACCGTAGTAGGAATTGGATTCCTTTTACTTTGGCAAGGCTCAGTTGATGTTTGAGCAGAAGGATTAAGTGACTGAATCTTGATACACGTACTTGGGGAATCCTGTCATCTTTATCAAAGCAGTGAGGCGTCTTTGTGCCCTCTCCCACTTGGAGGGAAACAATTTGGATTCTAGTGCAAAGTTGAAATCTGTGGGAAGATGCCAGAATGTATCATTTACAAAGCCGAGAGTACCTAGAACAAAGTACTTCACTGGTTGTCTGGTAATTTTCCTGCCTTTGGGAAGTTCTCTTAAGAATGGAAGGATGGACAATATCTCTAGCATAACTTTTGGTTTTGGCTTGGAACAGAAAATGTGGGTTATCTGTTAGTGTTTATATTGTAGGGTCTATTTTGTTGCAATGCTCATATGCTCGATGGTTACGGTAGCGTTGTTGGGGGTTTACCACTTCTTGGTTACAAGAGCAAGGGCAAGAACGTGAAGGGCTTAGGAGCTGAGGACTCAGCAGTTGTGCTCTTCAGTTTTGTTAAAGCATTGCTTTTTAGATTCTAGGTAGAAGCTTCTGCTGTAGCAATTCCACTGATTTCACTTGGTTTGGTTGATGCAGGAGAGGAAGGAGAGCCCTCTCGGGTTCCTTATTACTTAACCAGGAACCCAGAATGTTGATGGCAGAGACCTGTATGAAGTGAGTTGTCCACTTCCTTGGATAAGGGCTGCATGAGCAGTGCTGCCTTTGTGGAAGGACCAGTAATCCTTGTCTCAGGGGTGCTTTGACTGTCTTTGGGGACACATTTGCCTGTCTTAGCCATCACTGACGAGACCGCTGGCCTGTGAAGTCTGTGCTAACCTTAGGTGACCACCCTCTTTATTGATGCTTTCCTCCCCGTCCTTTCGGGAAAGACTCACTACGTGGCCCTTGTGGGTGCGGCTTCTGTATGTGTCCTAATGGACCTCACGCTTTCTCACCAGGAAGAGGAAGAGCAGGAGGAAGAAGATGACGACGAAGATGATGACGACACTGATGATCTAGATGAGCTCGACACTGACCAGCTGCTGGAGGCGGAGCTGGAGGAAGACGACAACAACGAGAACGCAGGGGAGGATGGGGACAATGACTTCTCTCCCTCTGATGAGGAGCTAGCAAACCTGCTAGAGGAGGGAGAGGACGGGGAGGAGGAGGACTCTGATGCAGACGAGGAGGTGGAACTGATCCTGGGGGACAGTAAGTACAGGGCGGACCACCAGGCTAAGCCTGGGCAGCGCCCGGGAGAGGCCCCTTCTCTTGGGCCAGCCCAACTCAGAGGGCAGCACAGCAGGGTTCTGTGCCCCTGGCTGAGGACTCTCCACTCCCAGCCCCTTGAGGAAAAACAGGCTGTCATCTCTGATCCTCTGCTCGCCCATCCGATGTGTAAGCAATTGGCTGTCACCTGTTATCTTTAGAGCAGGGGTGGGCAGACTTTCTACAAAGAGCCAGGCAGTAAAATTTTAGGCTTTGCAGGCCATATGGTCTCCGTTGTAGCTACTCAGCTCACCGATGTAGCACAAAAGCTGCCATAGACAGTAAGTAAATGAGTGAATGTGGCTGTGTTCCAGTGCAGTTTTTACAAAAACAGGTGGCAGGCTAGATTTGGGCCTTGGGCCATAGTTTGTGCCTTAGAACGGAAGGCCAAAGTATGGTTCTCCCCAAGGGGCAGAGTTAAAATCAGTCAGGATGTTCCTCATGGGCATTGTACCTGTTCCTTTCTAAAGTGATACAGAAATAAAGTCCCACAGTGGAGGTGTCCTTTCCTGTCTCCTTTTGACTAATCCCCCTTAAAAGTCCAGGGGACAAGTGTTTCCTTTGGTTTCTGTTTTGCTCACTTCCTATTTTTCCCCCTTTCTTATTCCAAGTTATGAAGAACGAACCTCCAGTTTCTATAGCAATTTCGCATCAGGACAGTTTTGACTGTTCCATGTCTCTGACTTTGCTGATGATCCTGAATAAATGAGCGAGTAGACCTGAGTCTGCTCGCTCTGCAGCTGCACTTTGTACGTCTCAAGAGGACCTGTCCGCAGCATCACTGTGGGACATGTCACTAGTGACAGACTCATGGCTGCTCTGGACCTGTTTCTTCCTAGTGCCGCCTTGCCTGATGGGAGTAATCCCTGTGATATCTAGCCAGTTTTCCTGTAGCTAACCCAGCTAGCATCTAACCTCCAGAGGAGGTAGTGTGTCTAAAACGGTAGTCATTAACCACCTGTGCCTACTTAATCAAATTAAAAATTCAGTTCCTCAATTTCATGGCCACATTTCAAACGCTCAGTAGCCACATGTGGCTGCCATATTGGACAGCACAGATACAGAACATTTCCATCATCACAAAAAATTCTTTGCTGCTGGTGTGTGCCCAATGAATGCCAGGCTGCTTCGTAATGGATGCTTTTTTTAAAAAATTCCGGTAAAATGTATGTAACAGAATTTACTATTTTAACTGTACAATTTGACTGGCATTAGTTACAGTCACAATATTGTGTAACCATCACGACTGTCTATTTCCAAACTTTTTTATCGCCCCAAACAGAAAGTCCGTACCCAATAAGCAATAACTGCCCATTCCGCATTCCCCTCTCCCCCCACAGCCCCTGGCAACCACTAATCTACTTTCTGTCTCTAGTAATTTGCCTCTTCTGGACATTTCATATAAATAGCATCATCCAGTATGTGGCCTTGTGTGTCTGGCTTTGTCACTTAGCATAGTGTTTTCAGGGTTCGTCCATGTTACAGCTTGTGTCAATCAGTACTTTGTTTTTATGACCAAATAATATTCCCTTGTGTATATGTACCATATTTTGTTTATCCATCCATTGATGGACATTTGGGTTGTTTTCACTTTTGGTGGTGGGAGAAAGTATATGTATATATGAATGTGCATGTGTGTGGTGGAGGGAGGGCAGGTGGCAGTATATATTTTATACATGTATATACATATATATAAAAGATTCTCCTGTTCCACAGTAACCTGAATCCATTTTCTTTGGGATAAATCTTATACATGTTTCCAGCCCTCAAGCTTGATGGCTAGCTGGCCTAGGGGAGACTTTCTGACATAAGTCCTCTTTCCAAAGCTGTTTTCTGGAGATGCTCTGTGGAGCTGGGGGGAGTGTTCCTAGCTGCCGTCTGCTGTTTATCTGCTTCCATTGCTCCATACTAGTAGTAGGACTAGTATGGCCTTGTTGGCCATAGAGACTAAGGGGCAAGGGACACGCTACAGTACCGGTGGGAATGACAGGCCAAGTTTTACCAAAGCTTTCTGTCATATGTGAGTACTGAGATATGGGTCCCAAGGTCTACCTCCTTTAGTTACAGGTCAGTACACTGGCTAGGAGGGCCAGCAAGCAGCAGTCCAGCCTGGGGTGGGGCCCCTGATGGAAGAGAGTGTCACTCTGATTTTTCATTCTTAATTTGAATATAAAGCCACCAAAATTTGGATTTTTTTCTTTAAAACTACAGCCTCCTTTTAACCTTCACCTTTAGCTTAGGAAATTCTTTCTCTCAAGCCCAAGAAGTAGTCTGGGAAACTTTTAATTCTATCAGTCATGAGAATGCTGCCAGTTTAACTTAGGTGGGAATCTTGTATGATGTGAAAATGCCCAGTAGATGACAACTTGGCGGCATTTCAGCTTGGACTCTATAGTTCAGGTGGAGACTTAAAGGCAGCATCTGCAGTGTGACCTCCACTGCTCTGTGCTGGGAGGAGATGGGCAGCAGCAGCTCTCCGTATAGCAGACAGTGTCTGCACCCTTGGTTTGCTAATATTTTGTCTCTCACTAATCCTCTAGAGTCATAGCTCTTAACCTTGTTGGGGTTATGGAGCCCTTTTAGGATATGACGAAAGCCTTTGAGACTACGGAGAACCACACCCAGATGCCTGTACATCACTTTGCATGGTGTCCAAGGGCTCCAGGTACAGACCCCACCCTAGGAAGAGAAACATCTTGACTCCAAAGTTGTGTTTCTCTGTTCCAGTTAAAAAAGAAAAAAAAAACCAAAAACCTGAAAAATGCCACACCACGTTAAACCCTGCAGGGATTATTCCATCCTAGACTACCTTTGCCTCAGAGGGCCTGGGATTGGGTCTCTTCAGCACTGGGAAGATGAGAAAAGGCTAATAAGGAAGCCAGAGAGAGGAGTCCTACCACCTGACCCCCGGAGGGTTGTCAGTGCCCAAGCCCTGAAGGCTTTCTCGCACATTGAGCCCGACACTTATTTGCTTAAAGAAGATTGTGCTGTGATCCTCATTAAGCTACATTTATAGTCCTTAGATGCGATGCAGAGCTGCTAAGACTCTTAGCTCTTAATAGCGATGTAACTGTGGTCAGACAGGGCTCAGGTAGGTGGGTCTGCCATAGAAAACAGGTGAACCTCCAGTGTGGGCCCAGGACCTGTGCTCGGCTCTGGGCAGGGGCGCCCCTTCCCCACTGGCACTTCCTCCTGGAGATCTTGAAGCAAAAAGTTGGTGAGGCCTAGTTTGTACCTGCTTTGTCGTGTGCTGGTTTGGTCTTTGATTTCTCCCTGCTGGCTTCTCGCCCTCACCAACAGTCAGGCTGTGCTCATGCCCATTCAGTCCCAGGAACAGTGCTTTCTCCCAGGCATCTCATTTGCTTACTTTCAGGACTTTATGTCACTGCCGTGGTTTTCTTGGTTTTACCTTAACCATTTCCCTTGTCTTCCTGAAGGAGATGGTAGTGAATGAAGGGAAGGTCTGTGAACACGGATTGCTCCTCCTCATCTTTCCCAAGTTCATTCTCTCAGGTGTCTGGGAAAGGCTGATGAGGGTCTTTAGCACCAGTGGCTGCCCTCTCCGCATGGGAGCCCCAGAGCCTGTGGGCCCTTGCAAGGCTCCACCTCAGGGCTTGTCCACCCACTTCCTTGGGGACCTTATTAAAATCCAGATTCACAGCTGCCTGGTCTGAGTAATCAGAGTGGACACCAAGGTCTTTCTCTTCCACTCAGCAGATATTGGAGTTTTACGAGCTAGGTATCGTGTTTCTCTCCAATTCTAATCGGCTGCACATGATGTAGCTACGTCATTTTGAGGATTCTTTTTGCCACCACCTAGTTTTAACTGTTAATGGATCCTTCCAGAGGTTAATGTGTTCCGTTCAGTGCCTGAGGCAGATGGCCAAGCAGAGGGCTCCTCGTGTGGCAGGCACAGTGCCCCTTGCAGAACTGCTCAGCTGCTCCCTGCTGGCCTCCCACATAGAGTTTCTGGACAGTTTCTTCTGTGGTATGGCTGCCAGCTGGCTGGTACCTTTCTGGAAATTTACTCCCTGCAGGTTACATTCAGGAATGAATCCTAGGTGGACTGTATCGCTGCTTTTGTGAGGTCTTCTAAGGAAAGGAGAAAGGAATGGCTAAGGAGCTTAAGATAAATCTCTTGCCTTTGCTTTGGCCCAGCGGCCTTTTCCCCTGAGGTCAAGCAGGCCCAACCGACTCCAGAGGCCAAGGGCCGTTGGCGCTCACTCAGTGCTCCCCTCAGCAGCCATTCTGAGTAGGTCCTCCTGGTCCCAGCAGGTCTCACAGGCAGGAAGAGCAGCCTCCAGGAGGCAGAAGGCACCATGCCCAGGTCCTTTGAAAGGTGAGAGCAGGAGGTCCCAGGGGCGATCACTGGTACCAGAAACAGGTATATTCTCCAGAGCTAGCTCCAAGGAGTTAATTGGTGTTATTTTCTTCTTTCTGGAAGCGGATAATTAACCTCGCTCAGGCATAAGTGTCTGTGGTGCTTCCTTTCTGAAAGCGTCCTGTCAGCCCAGTGTATGACCTCTCTCCCTCCTCTTACCTTTCAGCTGACAGCTCCGACAACTCCGATTTGGAAGATGACATCATCTTATCTCTGAACGAGTGAGAGGCCATCACCACGTGGAAGAGTCTTCGCAAGTGGGGAAACTGAGTCAAGTGAATTCAGAACACCTCCCCTTCCCTTCCCTCAGGGCTGTTTGTCTTTTAAGGAACTGCATGCCCCAAATTCAGAGGGTTATGGCTTACAGAGTCTCATTTGAATCTGAGGGTCCTTCCAAAAACAGTACCGCCACAGAAAGACAACAGGGTTAGGCCCTATTCGGCTTCACCATTCCCCCTCCTCGGATGGACACTTATTTTCTCAAGGGGGAAAAAAAAAAAACATGTCTCTGGGGCTATTTCACAATATATTTTCTTTGTATAATGTTCTTTACTTAAAGAACAAGAGATAGTTTTTTAAAAAACTTAAAAAAACAAAAAAACAAACAGGCATTTATAACCGAGGGTATGAACTTATATCCACCAGGTCTCTTGTCCCTACACTTCATTTTCTGTGGGAGAAAATGATGTCTAAAGAACAATAGAGGCATTTTTACATATTTAAATGAACAGGAAAATCGTGGTTTCTTAAATTGATAAGGATTAAGACTATTTTATTATAAATGTAATATATGATTTTTTTACCCCATTTGAGTGCCTCCCATGCTGTCAGGTGGTCTCCTCCATGCCGGAGGCGGGAGGAAGTCACTACTGTTGCCGAGGAAACGCATAAAGGCACCACCTTCAAAGCTAGGGGGCACAAGGGCATCATGGATGTTGGTTTTGTGGAGTTGAGGGAACTTAGGAGATATAAGTTCACTCCCTTTATTTTTCTTTGTGATTTCAGTTTTTCAAAAATCTTTTTTTCTTCCCTTTCTCCCCAATGTGGAAATTAAAAATCAAAGGCCTTTTTCTTTAATGTAAAGTGTATTTATTTAAAAAAAACAAAACCAAAAAAAAAAAACAAAATAAACTACAAGTCTGTCTTTGTTTGTGGCCTTTCCCTGTTCTCTTTTACCAAAGGGGTGTGGCCTCTCCACGCAGTGTCCAGCCAAGAGGGTGGACCAGGAGGGAGATGTGTTCTGCCCAAATAAAGCCTCAGGGAGAACAGGAGCGGAGTCACAGTGTTTGCCTTTGGTATGCAGCTCTCCACTGGGGCGCACCTGCCTTGAGAGACGCTGTCAGGGAGCAGCCTGTGGGGCTGAGGAAGGTGCCCAGGCCCTTGTCCACTGTGGACACAGCCCTGTTCTGAAGTGAGGTGGCAGCTCGAAAGGTAGGCGTCCTGGGAAGCTTTGGAGGAAAGAGCTGGCAAAGCTAAGCAGTGAAAGCATTTTGGCCATCCGTTTGTTGGGGTGACTGTCTTTACTAACAGCGGACTTGAGCACTTCTCCAGTCCTGGAAGTTTAGGAGCCGGTTGGCAGTTCATAACCACCCAGAGGTGCCTTGGAAAGACCGGCCTGGCCATCTGCGTCTGAAAGGTCAGAGCCTTGAAAACCCTACAGAGCAGTTCTACTCTGCACACATGGGGTGGCCATGAGTCGGAACTGACTCGATGGCAACCAACAATAGGGCTCAGGCTGGGCTGGTTGCAGAAAATTACTTCAGAGGACTCAACAACTGGCCTGTGGCTAAACTGCTACCACCAGAGAAGCACCAGGGTGCCCACCTTTTCACTCACCCTACCCTACCCCCCCGTTTCCTTCCCACAGTGAATCTCAGACCCTAGTTTGTTTCTTCCTTTGATTCCCTCCTCCCCGTGCCCCACCCCAAGTAACAGCTTCTCAGTCTCTGTTACAGAGCTATAGAAGAGAGACTTGTCTCCTTCTGAGAGAAGACAGATTTAGTGGTTGTGAAGTAAACAAGACATCTAAAACTCTCCAGGGGCTGATAAAAGCCCTGCTGGGCTTAGGAGCGCCACAAGGCTTGTCATCTGCTCAAGTGGGCCTGTGTCACACACGTACCACCTGGTCCTCTAGAGAGCACAGGCCTCAGCTCTGAAGTCGCGTGATGCCTTAGCTTAAATGGGTAGTTAACACCTAACCAGGGGGATAGTCTGACTGCTGGTACCAAATGCATTAGAAGAAATCAAGGGAAAAGTCAAGTAGTAGTAGAAGCACAGGACTGCCGTCCTCAACTCTGTACTCTGCCCAGAGCGCTTGGGAGCCCACAGGCATCTGAGGAAAATGAGGCCTCCAATAGGAACGCAGAATTCTGGTTGACTTGACAACACACCCTTAGGAAAGGGCCCTGAGGGGCTGAGGACACATCTAACCTTCCTTATTAACAAGGCTCAAAATCTGGATGACTTAAGCAGCAGCATGTAAAATAGTAGCAAACCACCAATGAGGCCACTTTCACTGTAGAGTACTTTTTTGTCTTTAAGCAGCCTGTTAGGAGCTGACCCCCAGGTGGAGGCACTGGATGGGGTTAAATAGCTTCCTCCTGGGGGTAACTTCAGCAGGCAGGGCCTTGGCCTCTTGACCCACCCTCACTTGTGCTGGTGGAGACCTTTCTGAGGTGGTCAGAGGACCTGCCTGTCGTATCAGAAGAGAGAGGACTGGGAAGTGTTTGAGAACAGGGCATCCAACTAGTTGGAAACCACCCCGCCCCCCCACCCGCCCGCGAGAATTTGCATTTCTAACAAGTTCCCTGCTGAGAATTTAAATTTCTAACAAATTCCCAGGGAGTTATACATAACAATCACCTGGGGATCTTGTTAAAATGTAGATTATGATTCAGTATATCTGGCCTGGAAAGGCAAATTCCCAGCAGGGGGTCTGAACCAGAACAAACCGGTTTGAAGCCCAGGTTAAAAGGCAGGTCTAGGGAAGAGAAGGTCACACAGCGAGGTGTGGCTCTTTGAGGCCGGAGGGCACCATCCCTGTACAGAGGTGGCCAAGGCTGAAGTGTCTTCTCCAACCAGCAGCTGGAGAAGTTTTAAACATCACATGCCAAGGCGGCTCTGGCTGTGACTCTGGTTTGTTGGTCTGCAGGGACCCATGCAACATGCCTCCCAGTCACTTCCCACCTCATTTGCCACAAGCCCCATGAGGCCTGTTGCTGAGGTCTCTGGCAGTACCAGCAGCCCTGGAAGGGCGCAGATGTGCCCCCCTGACTTGCTTAGATCCCTGGCAGCTGTGGCCACAGCTCAGGTAGAAACAGGCAAATAAACATGCTAAGGCTTCCTTGCACTAATGTAACGTGCTTGTTCTCAGGAGTGCCAGCTGAAGCTCAGTGAGCAGTGCTTCCCCAGCCCCTCCCCACACAGCCCCAATCTCCAGCCTCTAAATGACACAGCGGGTGCCCCATCCCGCGTGCTCCAGCTCACAAAGTGGCTCTAAAAACACCCCAGCCAACCAGCTGACGTGGAGAGGAGGCACGGCCAGCAGAGCGTGAAGTTCCTGGTCACTCGGGGGCTGCTTACAGCACTCAACCAGCAGGGACCCATTTTTCCTGCTGGAGCTTCCGTTCTCCTCAGTCCTGACAACAGACCCTTTTGGAACATCCAAGTGCCACACAAACCTTCTGAAGAATGGTACTTAGGCTGTGTTCTGTGGTGACAATCACTGCACGGCTCTGGTTTCTCTCCCCCCAGCCAGAGGATCTCTCCACATCCCTCCCCAGCTTGGCTTCAAGCCGTAGCACTGCCCAACACCACAGCAGCTGTGACTGTACTCCCCGCAGAGAAAGACCCATCGCCCCGTGTTCCCCGCCTCACTATCAGGGCGAGGGGCCATGGCACCCGCTCCTTTGCACTGGGAACCCGCTGTTATCCCAGTTATCAAAGCAGCTTCCTAACTCACTGCACTCCCCTGCACCATCACTGAAGTACGTCAATCCTGGGGCCTTGGCGCCCCCCCCCCCCCAAAGCTCTAGGTATGACTGTGGGCATAGGACCACTAGACCAAAAAAGAGCCAAAATCCACAAATGTCTGGGTAAAGGAGTTCAAGAATTAAGTAATGAAGGCCGCCCCCTCTTCCATCCCACTACTCCCCTCAGAACCTCCCCTCCCCCTGCCAGACTCAGGCGTCTGACGCAGCTCTGTCTCCAACACTGAGTATCCCTGGGCTGAGGAAGGCTAGATGGGAGGCTGACCAAGAGGAGAGGGAGTCTCGGGCAGGTCTGTGGCACAAAGACACCTTGGCATTGACATCGTACTGCTCTTCCCGCCACTGCAAGACAACACAACTGCCAAAGACCAACTGCTTTCAAACAGGCCTTGAGATTGGGCGCTTTGTCTCCCAGGTGCAGCTCAAACCGACCGACACGTTTAGGGCAGGAAAACACACACCTACCAGTAGCTGCTGGTGTCAGACCTCAGGCTCACCCCTTTCCTCTGCACTGGCTTTATACTCTGCTGGGTGGAGGTGGGGTCCAGAGCCCTAAATGAAGCCCACCTGCCCACAGCCAAGATGAAAAACAAGTGAGTAGAGCCCTGCCTCAGCCCGAGCCGAGGGGCTCTCAGCCCCTGTGTGCAGGACTTCTGGAAAGAGGCCATGGAGCAGCTGTGTGCACACAGAGGGGACAGTCGTTCTTTGATAAGGAACTTCTTTAAACCAGGACTCTGGACAGGATTAAAAATCCATCTTCTGACAAAGGCTTTACTGACAACTTTCCATACAGTTAGTTGAAATATAAAAAAATACAGGACACAGCAGACAGAATCTCGTACACTAGAAATCAACATAACAGGCGTCCCTTCTCATGGCTGTAAAACGAACAAAAACAGAACCTAGAAATTTAGTTTTGGTGGTGAACAGGACCTCTGCCCCCCTCCCCCGCCAGATGAACCAAAATAACCCAGCAGAGAATTTAAACCAAGGGCATAGAGTAGGGAGAGGACAAGACTTTAAAATAACTGCTTTTGTGACACAAACAGGGAGTCAGAAAAGATACATCTGGGCTAGGCAGCGTCTCTTACTATAACTATCACCATGTGTTCTTCTTCTAGCTTGCCCAATGTCCTTAGTGCTGACTGGAGGTACTGCTGTGAAAAGTCGCAGGGCGGGAAGGCATAGAGCATGCCTGTGCTGTCTCTGCCCTTGGACCCACCCACGGGCAGGCTGATCACCCCTGCGGCCTGCTTCTGTTTCAAGTAGGAGACCAGGTTCCTGAGAAGCCGCCTCTGTAGGCCTGGCTCCACCGTGTGCATCCCCTCAGTGCCAGGCCCACCGGGGGCTGCCTGGGTGGCTAGGAGCACCGCGTAGCCATTGGGGCTCCCCTGCTTGATGCGACGTGTGACCTCGTCGAGCTTGGGCTGGTCCAGTCGAAGGCGCTGGGCAATCTTTAGCTGGGTCAACTTACTCCCAGAGGTGTGGTCTTTGAGGAGACCGCTGATGACCCCCTGGTCCCCCTCTAGGATATGCATAGATGTTGGGAAGCAGCTGTTTTTCAACACAAGAAGCCCATTCCAACCCAACTGTAGTGTCTGGGCATACTCTGAAAGATTCTTTAGCTTTTTGGTCTCATGTTTTGGCTCTTCCAGCGGCTTGGGCTCAGCCTCAGTGGTCCGATGATTACGCTCGCTGTCTCTGGCCTTCTTCCCGTGGGAACAGTCTGGAGCTTCATGGTGGTGGTGGCTCCGCTCCTCGGCTCCATGCCTGCTGTTGCTGAGAGAGTTGCTGCTGGATTCCTTGGTCCCTTCACTGGAGTGGTTCTCTTTGCGGCTGCGCTCAGGGGTGCGCTCAGCGCCTCGCTCCAACTGCTGCCCACCACCCTTGGTCCTGCTCCGTTCATCATAGGGCGAGTGGGTTGTCCGCCCGCGGTCGCTGGAAAGGCTCCTGCGCTTCCGCCTCTCTTCCCAGGGCTTGGGCATGACACGGTCCCCATCTCCTCCCCAGCGCTCCCCACTCCGGCTGCGCACTTGGCGGCTGTAGCCCTCCAGGCTGTTTCGGCGGTCAGAGCTCTTACTGGGGCTAGTCCAGTCTCCTTCCAAAAAGGTCCGCTCTCGGTCTGAGTAGAGGAGGTGCGGGGGGGTCCTATCCCGCACCCTCAGGTCAGGATCCAGGGTTCGGTGCCGGGTATATCCATCAGGGAGGAGCTCATAATGCACAGGGAGTGGTGAGGGCTGGTACTGCTGGGGATACCGGGTCTCCTCTGCTTTCGCAAAATCCACACGGAGTCTGCGGTCTGGCCCACCCAAGGGAAAGCCCCTCATTTTAGCACAGGCTGCCTGGGCTGCGTCCAAGCTCTCATACTGGATATAGGCAAAGCTGTCTCCCTTGACATGATCGATGGTCCGAATGCTCCCAAAGCGGTCAAACTCCCGGGCCAGAGCAGCCAGTGAGGTGTTAGGTCCCAGGCCACCCACCCAGAGGCGAGTGGTGGGGTTGGCCTTGCCATAGCCTATCTTAATGGGGTTGCGGCCAATAACCCGGCCCGACATGGCCACCTTAGCCCTGTGGGCCATGTCCAGGTTCTGGAACTTTAGGAAAGCATAGGCACCGCCCTGGCCACGCGCAGGCCTCTTGATGACCACCTCCTCAATGATGCCATACTTCTCGAAGGCGCGCCGCAGCTCCACCTCAGACACACTGTGGTCCAGGTTCCCGATGAAGAGATTGCGAGTTGCCCGCTGGTCGTCCTCGGGCATCAGGTCCTCCTCGCACACTGCCGGGTAGCCGTAAGGGCGCCCGCGGTCGTCGTACAGCCCGTAGTAGTCCAGGGCCCGCTCGCGCGAGAGTCCTACGGCAGCGGCTGCAGCAGCAGCATCTAGGGCGAAGGCTGCGGCGGCGTGGCGAGCTCTGGGTTCCCGTAGTGGCGGGGCGGCTACTGGGGACAAAGAACGCTGCTTGTACTGGTAGCCTCCGTGCAGGGGCAGGTAGCCGAGGGGGTCAGCGGGCGCAGGTGGCCCTGGGGGCGGTGTGGAGGCGGCGGCACTGCTGCTGCTGCTTCGCCGGCTGCTCCCACCGCCGCCGCCCCGAAGGTACACGGGCTCCACCTTGAGCGGGCGGTCGTAGAGCAGCAGCTGGCGGGCCAGGGCGTGCTGGCGGGCCTCGCGGGCGTCCTGTGGGTGCCGGAAGTTCACGTAAGCCACGCGGCCCAGCTCAGGGGTGTGCGACAGGCGCAGGCTGATCTCGCCGAAGCGCTTGAACTGATGGAACAGCCGGTCCTCAAGGTGCTCGGCGGGCAGCGCGGGACTCAGGCTGCTGATGAGTAACGTCTTGTATTCGGGCGCGGTCGCCGACGAACCAGGGCCCGTAGGCTCGGCTCCAGGCGGTGGCGGCGGCGGTGGCAGCGGGGACGCGCGGGGTGACGCGCCCGAGGCTCCCGGGTCCCCGGAGGCCTT